CATCTCTCCCGCAGCCAGTGACAGGACCCGAGGGAATGGCCTGAAGTTGTGTCAGGAAAAGGTTCTTCCCCCAGAGAGTGTGTGGGCAGTGGAACAGCTCCCCAGGACAGTGGTCATGGCCCCAAGCCTGACAGAGCTCAAGAAATGCTTGGATAGTGCACAGGGTGGGATTGTTGGCGTGTCCTATGTGGGGCCAACGGTTGGACTTGGTGATCCTCGTGGGTCCCTTCCAGCTCTGAATATTCTGTGATTCCATGGGTTCTCACAGTGGTCAGTATTCTCAGCCCCTTCCCTCCCCAGCTCCCCAGCCGGCCCCAGCTCTCCCCGGAATGCCGGGATCTCCTGGGACAGCTCCTGGAGAGGGACCCTCTGAAGCGCATCTCCTTCGAGCACTTCTTTGCCCACCCCTTCGTGGACATGGAGCACGTCCCTGGCCCCGAGAGCCTGGGCAAGGCGGTGAGCAGGGCCCTGGGGGGCTGGGCCCTGGGGAAGCAGTGGAGGCTGAGCCATGAGCCCCCCATCATATCCCCCAGACCGACCTGGTGGTGGAGGCAGTGAGGAAGGATCAAGAGGGAGATGCCAACGCTGCCCTCTCCCTCTACTGCAAAGCCCTGGATTATTTTGTGCCAGCACTGCACTGTGAGTCCCCCCTCCCCGGGGGTTATGTGGGTTCTGGGTTCATTTTTGGGGAGCAGCACCCCCAGGAAGGCCATGTTTCAGCCCACCCACCACAGCATTTGATTATTTTCTCTCTCAGATGAAAGTGATGCGCGGCGGAAAGAAGCTATCCGGGCCAAGGTGAGCCAAAACTCCTGGGGACGTGGAGGCAGCACCCCCATCCTCTGCCCCCCATGGCAGGGGTCCCCTCACCCCCAAAATACTCACAGGTGGGGCAGTACATCTCCCGAGCAGAGGAGCTGAAGGTGTTGGTCTCCTCCAGCAACAAGAGCCTCCTGGCGAAAGGAAACCCATCCAGAGAGATCCTTAAAGGTAGCAGGTTTTTGGGGTCCCCTAGTGTCAAATCAGGAAAGGGGCACCAGCAGGATTTTGGGCTGAGGGGTGAAGGTTTTGGGAGCAGGAAGGGGACACCAGCAGGGTTTTGGGCTGAGGGGTGAAGGTTTTGGGCACTCCCCATTGCCATGTCCCCTTGCAGAGATGGCCAAGGACAAGCCTCGGCTCTGTGCAGCGCTGGAAATGGCTTCAGCTGCCATTGCCAAGGT